AAAAAAAAAAAAAAAAAAAAAGGAGAATGGAAACGCAGCGGCCTCCCTACATCTCAGCCTTGATATTTTATTTTTTCCCACCCTGTGTGAAATGAACACGACAGGAGGTGACGGGAGACACGGGTGGGTGGGTGGCTGGGTCGGGGGAACCCGCCGGGATCTGCACAAGCCACGAGTGGCTTCACAATTACACCCTGCTGTCTGGTCGATCCAGTTTCCAGAAGGCGGGAGCGGCTCCTTTTCTCTCCTTCCCTCAGTCTGCCGGCAGAGAAGAAGAAAATGCTCTCACACTGATCAACCCGAACCGTGGGATGGATTGTCTGATTTTGAGATCATTTCCCCAGACCAGCCCTCGTGACCAACTGGGCTGACATTCCTGTGATCCCACTGGCTTCTTCGGTTGTACATTGTCCAAATCACCCCCGAGAAGGAAGGACTTAACAACAGCAGGGAAATCCCCAGCATGACAGAAAGTTTAACTGTGGAACTCACTGCCACCAGATGTCGGACTCAATGGCCTTATAGGCACCATCCATCAATGGCCTTATAGGCACCATCCAATGTTCAAAGAGCTTTAGAAGACAAGAGTCCACTTCTGTGGGATAAAAAGGCCTGGCTGGATTCCTGGGCATATTTTGCTGTTTAGAACCTCCCCCTCCAGAAGCAAACTACCTGCAAATACCAGGGGCTGGGAGGCAAACACAGAAGGGGCCTGTTTCAGCTGAATGGCAGGAGGGATCTCTGGTCCTAATCCGCTTGCTCTTTTACTCCTCAGTAAGCGGGTGGAGGGAAGGGGGGAAACCAACAGTCAGGAGTCCGACTTACTACCCTTAGATCGGTACCTGTTTTGCTAACATAACAAGAAGAATTTGCTCTCTCTTTCTTTTTCACTTTTTCTACATCTGGGCTGGCAGGTTCTAAGAAATCTTATCCAGAGAAATTTCTTCCAGATAAAGATGGTGGTGGCAGGGAGGGGAGCACCGGTGGGTCCTCCCTGGCCAGAGAAAACTAGGGAGGAAGGGGGTGACTTTCCCAGTGCCCCATCCCGAGACGCAGTCTTGGCCCTGTCATTGCTCCTCCCCCGTCCTCCTCCTCCGGGTTCTTCCGGGGGGGGCAGAAGGGGTGCCCAGCTGCACAGGGACAAGGACACGGCCTTGCTTTCCTCATCAGAGGAAGGGTTGGGCTTGGAGTCTCCCCGCTGGAAATGCAAGCCTTTGGATGTGTCTCCCTCCCTTGTGGCTTCAAGGGTACCGCCAGCCCCTCCACACACCTCTGCCGGGGCGGATAAAAGTGGATTTCATGGCAAGAGGACCACAATAGGCTGAAAAAGCAATTTATAAAAAGAAACTGAAAGACAAAGCAAAGCAGAAACGATACCCAACCAAAACCAAAAAAGAACATCACCTTTGGCCAAACAAGGATGAACAGAGTGGAAATCTTTCAATTAAAAAACAAGAAGAACTGAAAACATTATCCTGTGGGAGATGGAGCCAGGTCTCTGCTCCCCCCCCCCAAAAAAGGGACCCACAGCTGAGAAGGCTCTGCCAGTTTCTGGGCTGGGCAGGGACTTGAACCCAAGTCCTATCCTGGGACCCTCCGGGAATTTAGGCAGGTTTGGTGCCTGAACCCCTCTTTTGAGCAGAAAAGAGCAAAACGGTGGGGCTGACCCTCATCCGCACCCGGCGGCACTGGGAGCCCTGACTGGGCCACTTCTCCCCGCCCCCACCGCAGGGCCACATCTCCCATCATCCCCGAGCAAAGGCTCCCCCTCAGGTCCGGGAAAGGGGGAAACCACAGGCCGGAATGGCAACGCACATGGCCTTCCTGCCTTCTCTAGAACTGGTGGGACTCCACCGCCCATCATCCTCCGACAGTCCAGCTAGTGGGAGGTTCTCCTGACACCTTCCTCCAACCATTTTGAGGCCACCTGTTGCTGCCCCTCGCCATCCCATCATCCCACCGCCTCCTCCTCCAACTCCCATTATCCACCCACCCGAGAGGAAATGAGCTGCCCAGGGAGACGCTGCCCTCCCGCTCTCCAGGCTCTCACCCCTCCCCGGCCAAGCCCCTTCCGGAGGATGGACGTTGTAGTCCAAGGAGGGGGCAGGGGAGGAGGGAGCCTCCCTGGCCAAGGGCAGTCTATCCACCCGGCCCTTTTCTCCCTCCCTCCGTTTGTCTCGGTCGTCGGGGTGGAGGGGAAGGGAAGGGAAAGGGGCTTCTCACCGGGAGACGCGGCGCGATCTCGGCCGAGCAGCAGTGGCAGAAATAACGCCCGGGCTGCGGGGAGGCCTCCGCCATCTTGCCTCTTCCTCCTCTTCCTCTTCCTCCTCCTCTGGACTCCGCCCCGCCCCTCCGGGGGAGTCTGGACTCGCGCGGCCTATCACGTCACAGTGACGTCACCGCGGCCCTCACGAATCCCTCTACGGCGGCCGGCCAGGGACAAGTCTTTTCTTCAGCGACCCCTGTGGACTACAACACCCAGAAGCCTCGTAGGAGAGCGGCTGGCTGAGGCATTGTGGGAGTCGTAGTCTAGAAGGAGGGCGGCCCGGAACGAGGGGGTGGTGAGGCTTTGAGACAAGGAAGAGGAGCCTCCCTAGGAAGGCGGAGGGGGGGAGGGAGCGGGTCGTAGAGTTCCGCATGCTAGAGCGTCTCTTCCTCCCGAGCAACGGAACTAAGGGGAGACGCCCTCCGGAAGTGGTATAGCAAAGTGGGCTTTCAGCGAGAGGAAGGAGGATGATGGGGTCTCTCTCGCAGGGTCGTCGTGAACCCGAAATGGCGTTGAAGGGAGAAGGCCGCCCCCCCTTGGGGGAAATGCCCCTCCGTTGCCCCCTCCCAAACTGGCTCCTGACAGCCGTGCGGGGTCCCCCACCCGGCGCCTGCTTCCCCACCACCACACCTGTTCACCCTGCGCGCAGGCGCGCGCGCACAGACACACACACACACACACACACACACACACACACGAGTGTGCATGGGTGTAGAGACCACGTGAGTGATGCCTCTCTGGGGTGGCGAGTTCGGATCTCACCACCACCACTGGGCATCTCTCTCCAGGGAGAAAAACCAGCCTGGGGGGCTTTTGGGGGGGGGGGTGCCAAAGCTACCCAGCGATTTGCCCTGGTGGGGGGGACCACCTCTTGAGTATAGGCAGACTAACACTAGGAAACCTTTGGAAGGGGTCGCCCATTTGTCAGCATTGATTGGAGGGCACATTTTTTATTTAAAAAGGTACACCAATTTTGAGGAGACAGTCCACAATGTCTGTTATATAAAAAGGATGCAACCGATAAAAATAAATGTGTGAAAAGGGGTTGTGGGTATATCGGGGTATGGGGGGATAGAAATACATTGGATTACTTGCAAAAATAGCTTTCCCAGCTGTCAGGTTGATATCAAAATCCATGCAAGTCATTTTCCCCCCCAGGCTAACCAAAAAGGGCAGAAAAGCCTGTGGTAAGCTTTTAAAATGTCTCGTTTTCATTAGCAGGCCATTGGAAGAGATGCCAGGCTGGAAGGGCAAGAACGGACTCTGAGGAAACCTGTGGTTTGCAAGATGCCCCGGTTGGGAGGCTAAGCAGAGAGAGGCGGAGGCTACAGACCTTCTGACGAGGCTCCGGCAGATGGACTTTGTGGTTTTAGATTTCACTGTAAGCTGCCCCTTGTGATGGCTGGGAGCAGGAAATGCAGGGCAGCTGGAGTTCCCATTTCTGAGACTACAAAGTCCAGTTCCACACCGGAGCTGAGAAAAATCCAGCCCCCTCGGTAACATTTGCTAAAGGAGTGACAGCAGAGGGAGTTTCGTTACAGGCCGGAGAGGAACACAAGAAATCTCCCATAGTTTACCACAGTGTGGTTTAATTTTTCAAAGGAGCGTCTTGTTGTGCGTTGATGTTCATGGATACTTCCCTTTAGTTTAATAAGGACTTAGCCTTTTGTTTCTGATCATGGGGCGTTCTTGGCAAAGATACTGGAGTGGCATTGCCATTTCCAACTCCAGGTGGATTACGTTTAGTCAGAACTCTCCACTATGTCCTGTCCGTCTTGGGTGTCCCTGCATGGCATAGCCCATAGCTTCTCTGAGTTACTTGAGCCCCTTCGCCACGACAAGGCAGCAATCCATGAAGGGGATTTTTCCAGAAAAATATCTACTTCTGCTTCATTGACTATGTAAAAGCCTTTGACTGTGTGGGCCACAGCAAACTATGGCAAGTCCTTAAAGAAATGGGAGTGCCTGACCACCTTGTCTGTCTCCTGAGAAACCAATATGAGGTTCAGGAAGCAACAGTTAGAACAGTCACCTTGCCAACAAAAGTCCGAATAGTCAAAGCTATGGTTTTTCCTGTCGTGATGTATGGAAGTGAGAGCTGGACCATAAAGAAAGCAGACCGCCGAAGAATTGATGCCTTTGAATTGTGGTGCTGGAGGAGGTTCTTGAGAGTCCCCTGGACTGCAAGGAGAACAAACCTATCAATTCTAAAGGAAATCAACCCTGAGTGCTCACTGGAAGGACAGATTCTGAAGCTGAGGCTCCAGTACTTTGGCCATCTCATGAGAAAACTCCTTGGAAAAGACCTTGATGTTAGGAAAGTGTGACGGCAAGAGGAGAAGGGGACAACAGAGGATGAGATGGCTGGACAGTGTCTGCGTAGCAACCAAAATGAAATTGACACAACTACGGGAGGCAGTGGAAGATAGGAGGGCCTGGCGTGCTCTGGTCCATGGGGTCACAAAGAGTCGGACATGACTAAACGAATGAACAGGAGTTCTTTCATACTTAATCTAGTTTTCCCTGGTGGATTTGCGGAACAGATCTGGAGTGATCACCAGTGAATGATTTTGCTTCTTTTTTAGCTAATTGTTTGCAAACAACCCATTCCTGTTCCAATCTGGGACCCAGAGACATTTTCCACCAACCTGCCGGCCTGTATTTTCACCCCACATCCCACCTTTTTTCAAACATAGGGAGACACGTTCTTTTCTTTTTTTTAATATTTCTTCAACTTTACAAGGTTACAATCATCTTAAATATTTCTGAAGTTTAAATACAATCTGTAATAATAATGTTATAAAATGTAAACTTTTCAGTGTTCTTTTTTTAAAAATTTCTCTCTTAAGTCACAAAGGCTAATACCTGAATGTTTGCGAAAAAGTGATTTTTTTTCTTCCTCCAACCCCCCCCCCAAAAAAAAACAAAAAAGAGAACTAAACAAAACACAGAGATCCGGAGACAAAAGGCAGCCCCTCCCCCCTCCCGGAGACTCTTGTTTTCAGAGGTAGAATGTGGTTTCTTTTATGATTTTTATTTCTTATTACCTGAGTCAAAAAACTACCTATGCTGTACAGATTGCATGAACCCTCACTGTGTTCGTTTTTCTTTCCTTTCCAAAACCATCAGAGGTGTGTGTGGGGGAAACCCCTGAAATTAAATCTTAAGTTTGAAGTCGATATGCAAAGAGGGAGGAGGGAACTTATTATGGTCTCCTCCCACTGCCCCCCAAAAAGTAGGAGCTCCCCCAACACAGTGTTGTACAAATGCAACCAACAAAAACACGCCTTAACTACT